AGGGTGAAGGATGGACGGTTCAGTCCCTAGATCCAGCCCCATGTCTAACAAGGTCTGAAGCAGGATGCTGATTCAAATACAGACTAAGTAACCAGGGTCAGTAGTTGCCAGGGTGTGTACCCTCATGGTCAGGTGGCCTGAGATGAAACCTCAGCCCTGGCTGGGCCCATGGGAGCTCACACACGTCTGAGTGCCTCTGTTTCTTTGAATTGTGCTTGGCTTCCGCCAGCTCTTGGCAAGTGTCCGTATTCTTTTCCGTGGGCGACATGGAGACGGGATGGGGACTGGCTCCTGGACGAAGCTGCTCAGTGACATTCCCAGGTCCCAGCTGGGAAAGAGAAGGGCCGATACCCGGTGAAGAGAAGCCTTCTACTTTCTTTGTTTGTGTCTCTTGCCAGTGTTTTAATATCCCAGTGCTGCTAGTGAAGCCACATGAAAGATTTGGGGGCGATTTTCCATGAAATGGAGAATCTTGCTTGCTTCTGAGCCCCAGCCCTGATCTGCCTCCGAAAGCTGGATGGCAGACATAGGCAGACTGAAAACTCCCGTGAATCTGCCTGCCTTGGCATCTTGTTTACATTTCAGCTTCTTTTTTCTTTTGCTGTTTCTGGGTAACAGACAAAGGACCTACAGAATGGTTCACCGTGTAGACAGACAGCCCCGCGCCCTTCCCGATGAGGCTGCCTGGGGGTCTCATGGGCACGCACATCAGCCATTCGTTCTCTGCAGTCAGGGGCAGTTGGTTCAAGCTGCGTGTTTCCTGACTCCAGCCCTCCCAGCAGCACCCTGCCCTCTGGCATCTTGGACTCTCCTGGCATTGGCCATGCTGGAGACTAATTAGCAACAAAGAGACGTGACTTTCCTGCTCCTGAGATGTCCCTGTGTCAGAAGGCTTTTGCTCAACTAGTGCTGCAGCCAGCTCAAAAGAGGCCTCAGAAAAGCTGGCAGAGCAGAGGAATGTGGGTTCGCAGTGCTTTCTGCCGAGGCTCCCCATGTAATCTTTCTTCTCATTTCAAGGTTCTGTACAGCCTCCCTAGGCCCTTTGTCAGAAATGCTGTCAGGAGGTGGTTCTTGATCCCAGAACAAAGGCATCACCCTAGCTCCAGCTCAGCTGTTCGCACAGGAGCAGCAAGGTGTCAGGTGCCACAGGCCTTCCATTTGATTGACTGGAAGGCTTACCTTTTCTAGTATTATTATTATTTATTAATCTATTTGTTTGACATCCAAGCCACAGCCTCCCCCATTCTCTCCTCCCAGTTCCTCTCCCCCCATCTCCCCACACCCACTAACCCCCTTCTCTTCCTTCTCCATCCAGGAAAGAACAGGTCTCCTATGAGTATCAATAAAACATTTACCTTTCCTTTTTTCTTTTCTTTTTTTTTTTCTTTTGAGACCAGATCTTACATAGCCCAGGCAAGTCCCAGACTCACCATGTAGCCCAGGTTGACCTCAAATTCATGATCCTCATGCCTCAGCCTCTCAGATGCCACTGTCTCTGGTAAAGACCCTACCCTTCAGATTTGAAAAATGTCAACTCTTTGCTATCCTATCTTTGGAAGCCCGAGCATCAAAATATTTCTTTTTCCTTCACACACCATCAACGGTCCTTATAAATCTAGGTGAACTTCTCTTTTCAAAATCGCCGGGACCTACCAGAACCTAAGGCGTTTCTTTTCACTGGGCCGACTGTGACCCCACGAAGCAGGCTACTCCCCAACTCCCGGAGGATTTCAAAGCTTTGACCCCGTGATGGTAGCCCTCGCTCCTCAGGCATCGCCCACTGCTCTGGAGGAACCTCTGCAGATAACCCTGTTGCCATGGGAAGGAAGACTATTTAATACAACTTCCTGAGTCTAGGGAGGAGGCGGAGATGGCAGGAAAACCAGATATTATTTTAAAATGTTTCATTTCAGTTTTAAAAAATTACCAGTTTGTTTAAATGCTTAGGAAGAAGTGAAAGGGCTTCTTCTTGGAGCTCAGGATGCACAAGCGAAATGTCTCGGGGCTCACTCTGTCCTCTGTGGTGAATTCTGCCGGTCATGCTTAGCAGCCATGCTGTTCCTCAGCAAACAGGAATTCTGGGTGGAGGTGGGCACAGAGGCCTGTCTGGACTTGGAGTCTGCAGTTTGGCATGGTCCTTCACTGTGGCCTCGGAACATCTTCAGAATCACACAAGTTTGACCGTAGAACCTTAAGGAATGTCACTCAGGGCTAAGTCACCGCTAGGTGACAGCCGACGCCTTTGTGGGTCCATTCCACAGAACTGAAAACTGAGTCACAAAGAAGAGAGATGTCTCAACAGGCAAAGGGCCTTGACTGGCAACCGTGGCATGCATGTATTAACGCAACTAAGTGTCGCATAAGAACCAAAGAAGTCAGGGAATTTTCTCTGACTTCTAGAAGCAAGAACTCAGAGGGCAGAAAGCCCCACTGGACACCACGTGGGCCCTAAGAGGCCTGGTGTCAGTCTCTCTTGGCTGCACAGAGGATGCAATGTTAGGATCTGTTCTAGGGGTTCTGGGGAGCTGGAGCAGCCCCCCCCAGCCACATGACACCCTTAGCGTTTGTGTAGGGGAGAGGGAGAGGGATAGCTGGCCCCAGCACCATAGCCCTCATCTTGTAGCCTGCCCCACCCCTCAGGGCCCCTCTGAGCCTAGTTAAAGCAAAGGATGATTCCTTCTGCCCGGGATCCTCTGCATGGTGTCCCTGAGATGGCCCAGGGACCACTGCATCTCTGACTGCGGGCACACTTCGAAAAGCCTCTTGCCTGCCCCTCTTTTTAGAAGTCTCCCAGCACCATCTGTTACAGAAAGGGCCTTCCTGCCTCCCTCCTTCCACCTCCAGCTCACACGAGTGTGAGACCTCAAAAACCAAACTGAACAGGCAGCGTGAGCTACAAGAAAGACCCCAAATGCCTCGATGGGTGAATGGCTAGAACCCCAGGCTGACTCGGGACCCCACGTTGGCTACGCCAGAAAATTTGCATCATAAACCATGGCTCAGAGGCTCATGCCAGGAGTGGTCATGGGAGAAACAAGGCTGGTCCTGGGTAATGGTGTGTTCTGCTGACAGTAGTGACCAAAGACGCTGCCTGCCGCTCTAAACAGCGGGATGAAGAGAGAACAGGGGGGCTAGGAGAGGGGAATTCATAGGGCTGGAGTGAGAGACCACAGTGGGGACACTTAGCCAGGCCACAGGCTGGGAGGGGACAAACCCTGGACCCCTACATGCCCAGCAAAGAGTCATCTCTCCTGCGGGTTACAGGAGCTCACAAGGACCCTGCAAAGAGAAGTGTGGCGTGGATGGGATGAGACAGGAGTCGAGCCAGGGGGGAGGCTACTGCAGGAATCAGGATATGACCAAAGATGAGCTGGAATGGCACCCTCAGCAGGGAGCGGTAGACATCAGGGACAGTGCGGATGGAAAATGCGGTCACAGCTATCACGGTCGCCCTGGTACTGGTACACAGGGCGGAACCATCAAGGCATGAACAAATGCTGTTTCTGTATCATTGCTGGGCCTGGCAGCATGCAGGAAATGGCCTTAGTCACAGAAAGGCCAGGTTCATGGGAGAGAGAGAGTTGTCTGTTTGCTATATTCCGCCGTTTTTTAAGTGGAGCAAGAAGCAACTCAGAAAAAAAAAAAAAAAACCTGCCAGGTCTCAAGAAGTAATTATCAGCCCGGGTCCTCCACACACAGGGACTCGGGCAGAGTACTGAAGGGCACTTACTGCAGTAAGCCCAGAAGAAGCACCCAAGGGCAGCATCTGTTGAGTGAAAGTGGGGCTTAGGGGTGCCTGTGATCCCAGTAGATGGGGGGGGGGGTTTCAATTCCGTGCCTCACAGTGCGACATTCTCTCAGAAAGGGGCTGGGTCAGTGCAAACCATTCTCCTTTGACATGCAAGGCCCTTGGTTGGATGCCCAGGACAAGAGAGAAAGGAAGGGAGGAAAAAACTGTCATAAAGTTTGAACTATTAATTATGGGATTATTATTATATTATATATAATATGTTAATATATTGTTATAAGAGATATTATTAACAAGAAGGGATGGCAATAATAATAGAATGATTACCAGTGAAAAAGAGCTGAGACCTGCTCACATCCAGGCTCTTGTGCAGACCATGCCAATGCAAGACCAGCCCTCGCTGTCCCGCAGGGCCGGGGCCGGATGCTGGCTGGTGTGCAGAGGCGCAGTGCGTACTGTTTATATGTTGCTGTGACACTCGCGGTCCACAGCTGTTCTCTTGTCATTTTGAGCCCCCCTTTGATCTAGTCGTTCGGCCCCAGATCCTCATTCCCCAAAGGCTAAAAGGCAATCATTTTATTTTAATCAATAAACTTAAATTTGCCTTTCCCATGACAACTCTGTGAAGTGGCTGGAGACCAGCTGTGCTGCGATACCCTGAAACTTCATCCTCACCTTTGTGCCACACGCAGCCGCGGGCACTGCAGGCACGGGGACGCAGGCGAGCAATTTATTTTCACCTAACAAAGGAATGAAGCTTTCCCACAATCCATACACGCTGATAAAATGAAGAGATGCCCACGTGACATCAGAGAGCCCACGGTTTTGAAAAGTAAACACCGGTTCCGAAGGGCAAGGGAGTACCTGGTACCTGGAACCCAGCATCTCCATGGCAACCAGCCACCGCTCTGCTACCTCACTGCCTGTGATTTGTGCTTTTTTGTTTAAATGCACGTGTGCACATGTGTGTTCGTGTGGATGTAGATACACATGTGCGCACATGCGTGTGGGAAACCAGAGGTCAGCCTTAGGCGGTTCTCTCACTGGCCTGGCGCTCACCACATAGGTTAGGCTGCTTAACCAGTGAGCTCTAGGGATGCTCTTGTCTCTGCCTCCGTGGTGTTGGTGTTGGAAGCTTGTGACGTTTGGTTACGTATTTGAGGTCTAGGGATTGAACCTGGGTCCTCATGCTTAAAGAGCAGGTGCACGACTCGCTGAGCCTACTCCCCAGCCTACCTTCCGTGTTTTGCAGGTGGTTTTCAGCAAGTACTGCAACTCCAGCGACATCATGGACCTGTTCTGCATCGCCACTGGCCTGCCTCGGTGAGTGTCCCCTGTGTGCTCCATGATGAGGACTGCGTTATCGCCACAGTGGACCGGGGCAGGTGAAGCTGCAGATGGAGGGTCAGATCAGTGAGCCAAACCCAGTCCGGCTCTGCACCTCCTTGGCAGCTGTGTCCAGCCCCTCCGTTGAACTCAGCAGGGCCTCCTCCTCAGAGCTGGGCCTTTCTCTCCACTCACGTGTTCACTCCCTGTTGAGGAAGGAAGATGGCTGTGTCCAGAGTTGCTCTGGCCTCAAATAGCTATAAATGTTTTTGCTCTCAGGGGTGCCGTCGTCAGCGTGACACACGGCTGGCTTCAGAGATGAGCTAAAAGCCGGTGTCTATCCTACAAAACCCTCCAAATCCCCCCATGGTTTCTTTCCTAAATCCAGTCTGTACTAGCATGGGGATTTTCTAATTACAGGCTGAACCTCGCTAGTCCCCAAACCCCAAGTTCTCCAAACTCTGAAACAGTTTTAGTGCTGACCTGACACCAGAAGTGGAGAATGCCGCGCTTGACCTGGTGCAGTGTCAGTCAAAACACAGCGTGAAAGACATGGGTTGTGTTTACACACGGGTCTGCTCCCTGTAGTATTACATCCCATAAATTCAGGTAGCCTAAAATCTGAAGAAAAAAATATCCCAAACATTCTGGCCCTGAGCATTTTGGCTAAGGCGCACCTGATTCATTTTAACACGTAATTTTCCATTAGAAAAGGCAACAGAAAGCCAGGCACGATGACATATGCCTGTAATGCTGGTATTTGGGAGGTTGAGGCAGGAGGATTGTGAGTTAGAGGTCAGCCTGGACTATACTGTGAGACTCTGTCACAGACACAACTAAAGAAAGAAGCAGGAGAAAAAAGAGGTGTATGGGTATGACACTGGATGGCAAGAACCTTAAAGTTGGGGTCAGAGTCAGTGGAGGTGAAAGGGACAGAAAGGTGACCAAAGCTTTCACAAACCAGCAAGAAAGGGACTGCGGTGATGAAGCCGTGTCCTGGAGGCGACAGCAGATGATTCTAGTGCGGTAAAAGCAGCCCCCCACACGGGCAGCTTCCCTACCCTGTGAGACTGGGGTCTCATTTCCATGGTACTGATCTGAAGAATTCACAGGCCCCTGGGGAGCTGGATAAAGTCCTTGCTGTGCAAGTGTGAGGACCCGAGTTAACACTCACAAAAAAAGCCAAGTGTGGTGGCACACACTTGTAATCCCAGTCCTTAGGAGGCGGGGACAGGCAGGTGCAGGCAGGGGGGGTTCACTAGCCAGGTAGGCTAGCGGAATTGCAGGCCCCAGTCCCACTAAGAGACTCTGTCTCAAAATTCAAGGCGAGTGCTGCCCGAGGACTGTGTGGAGGTTGACCTCTGGCCTCACACATCCACACAAGCGTGCACTCATCCTTATACACACAAATTAAAATACAGTAGTAATCATTCACGGTTGAGGATCAGAGGGCTTAGTTCACTTGGCAGAGGTAACCGCTCTTCAGAAACCCCAGAGATGAGAAGCTGCGGAGGAAACTGGTTTTTGACCATTTAAGTTCGCTTTGTGGGAGAGCAGTGGGACCTGCGCATTGGGCTCTCCCAGGGTCCAGAAGCAGCCAGATAAGCAAGCGATGATTCTTGTCTTTGATTTATGTTAGTTTTGGGGAATCGTAGCTTCCTTCATCTCCCAACTCAATAAATTAGCCTTGCTCCAATTCCCACTTTAAATTAGTTAAAAATTGGCAGGCTCTCAGAATATGCTTACCCTTTTAACATGATTTGCTAAGGGAGGGTGAGGTACAACCTGCTGCCCTTGCCTGCCCTTAGTCAAGGACACCTGGTCCTCAGGGCGAGCCTGGTTCCTCTGGGCTCTGTCACGTGAGGCCTGGGTGCACATGTGTACAGGGGGCGGTGCTGACTTGAGTCTTTTGCAGGAACACCACCATCTCCCTTCTGACCACGGATGACGCCATGGTCTCTATCGATCCCACCATGCCTGCGAACTCAGAGCGGTAAGCAAGCATCTCTTCCTGGGGTGCCTTGTGCTTCCATGCCGTGTGCCCGGGAGTTTGCAATTTGGTTTTGTTTACTACTGCTGAAGAGTGTGAAGTTTCAGCAGAGAAGGGAAGAGGCAGATGGGAAGCAGGGGGAGGAGGCTCGGTTCACTCCTGCCTTCTTGGGAAGCCACGCTCCGTTCTCAGTAGGGGCCGTTGAAGGAGGCCGGCCATGAGCAGACACAGGGAACTACACTAACTAGACTAGGAGCATAGCTCCAGCCTGAGGGATCCTTCTGGGACGGCTAGGGCTTCCTGGGGACTTTGTCACCCTATTTAAGCCCTTGCTGGAATGTTCTGTGCATACGAGGAAGGAGACTGAGGCACAGAAGGTTGAGTAGATAGCTGGAACCAGTCATCTGTACCCTCAGGGAGGGCATGGGACAAACAGATCCTTTGTGTCAGTGATGCCACTTTCCCAGGTGGTCTGGAAAGTCCCTGGGCGTCTCCATGTCATGTGCGCAGTTCAGCTAAACAGAACTCAAAATGCAACCTCTGGGGCTGGCGGGATGATCCAGCTGGCAAAGCGTTTGTACGAAAGTGTAATGGCATGAGTTCGAGCCCAGGACCCGTGTGAAGATGGAAGATCCTCTGACTTCCACATCACACACTCGCACATGCGCACACACACGCGCGCATGCATGCACGCACACATACATGCATACACATGCACACACACACATGCCCAGTGTCCAGAAGGAACACTGCTTTGTGGGATGCTGGAAACCACCTCTCAGATACAGAGGGGGATGGAGAGGCGTGAGGTTGGACAGGTGTCTGGTGCTGTGTCTGGCTACAGTGGTGTGGATGTGGAGACGGAGTGAGGTATCTAGAAGGCTGGGTGAGGCGGGGACATGGACAACATGTTTGTGGGCTTAGACTAAATGACCTAGATCGGGGGGTGACCACATGCTGTGAGTTGGGTATCGGTGAGGTGTGATGCCTGTGTCGGTGCATGGCGATGGGGAAGTAGCAGACACAAGCATGGTGGAGGTGTGAACGTGCTGTCTCCTGGGCCTCCATGTTCTCCTGCACGTCCCCTTCTGCATCCCTTCTTCCCTCTTCTCCCCCAGAATGGACTCAGTATCTTGACCTGAGCCTGTGTGCTGGGAAGGGATTGCCAGAGTCGTGAGTGGTTGCTGAAGACGCCATGAGCATCATGACATGTGTGGTCTGGGGATGCCCCACCCTGGTCTCTGTGGGGGTGCCTGACCTCGAGGCATGCCTGTTGGTGCTTTGCCGTGCCTGTCTGACATGAAGACATGCATCCACTCGCCCACACTGGTTGGCTCAGTATGACCAGGTCAACTGAACGGTGACTTTCTGCTCTTGCTGGGCATTGAAACTAGCAACATCTTTTAAAGGGATCTGCTTGACTCACGGGCTCCTTTATGATTTATTGATCTTTATAAAGCTCTGTAAGGGTTCTGGAGTGCGGCCTGGGGTGAGGACCACCCGCGGAGGGGAACCTCTGCAGAGGGTTCTCAAGTGCAGCCTGGGGTGAGAACCACCCACAGAGGGGAACCTCTGAAACTACTCTGGACCTAGGCATAGGCCTGTGACCAGAAAGTTCTGTCCTCTGATCCCAGCCGGTACCATTCTCAGGAGTACAGGACAGACTCCCCTGGTCTGTGACCCACCCCTCCACACTCCCCCACAAGCACAGGCCCACCCCTTACCCACCCTTCCAGGGGCCACATTGGCTGCACACCTGGTCACTTGTGTCTGTTTTTACCTCCCCCACCTCTGAAGACCTCAGAGTTGTTCAGCTTGGACACGGTCACCTCCTGCTGTCCCTGCCTCCCGCTGGTGGAAGGGACTTGGCTGTGGGTGCCGGTCTCATCCACACACTTGGAGCCTGTTCACTGGATGGGTTTCCCATGACTCCCCAAGACTCAGAGGTTTCTAAGCAGCCACCTTCATCCTGGTCCTGGTCAAATGGGCGGCTGTCTCCATCTCTCACGGCTTAGTGCTTGCCTGCTGTGTTTTCTGCACCTGTTTCAAACCCCAAATCACAGCAGCAAGCTGGAAAGCCAATCGGCTTCCGCTCTCCTCTGGAGCTGGCAAGCCATGATGAATGAGCAGACTGTTCCCAGGACCAATAAGTGAGAACGGGCATCTTGGAGCCTGGCCAAACTGGAGCTACAGGTTTGCCCTCAGAGGACCTTTTCCCATCTGGCGCCTCTCTCTGACCAAGGGATGTTCTAGGTTTGGTGGTGTCCCGCTCTCGCCGCAGCCTCTTGGACCCTGCCCTTCCTCTCTTGCTGGGGAAGGGGAACAGATGCTTCAGTGGTGTGAGGAGAGGGGGCATATGGCGTAGCATATGGAGCGAGGAGAAGCCCAGAACTGACACCGCACATTCCTCACATAACACAAACACATCTTTGGTTTCCGATTTTAGCCAAGTTGTGAGACGTGCGGCTTTCTGCTGGGTAAAGCAACCAGGCCCCAGCAAGGAGGGCTGGACAGCCATCCCTCTGCTCGGCACACATGCCCCGTGGATGCCCGGCTGGCGCCAGGCTGCTGCCTCCCCAAGCGTCCTAGAAGAAGCGCCAGGCAGAACAGACACACAGTGATAGTCCAAGGCCATTTATCACCTCTAAAGAGAAGGGGTTATTTCATTTACATTATATTAACAGAGTTGAGGAAGAGACGCGAGGAAGCCATAACTCAGTTCAGATGGAGCCAAGGGTTTATTCAGTCCCAAGAAGACGCGGTCACTGGCTCTACTGAGCTGAGAGGATTTCGAAACCTGGAGCGAAGGCTAAGCAAGAGGCTGTGGAATGTAGCCAGGAAGTTCTGCCTGTGGTCCGAGTGTCTTGCAGTCTCTGTCCAGGCCCTCCTCATCTCTGGCCAGTGGCCTCTGCTTGCATTCAAATCAAAATATTCTGGGTAACAAACGGGTGGCCCATCCTAAAGACAGACACTGTAACTCTGTAACAGAATAATGTCTCTTCAGAAACCCGCACGCACTTTAACATGGGAGATCATTGCCGTGACAGGAGCGTTTTGGTCTTGTTCACTGCCCAAACCTACCACAGTGGGCTCTCAGAACAGCACAAGTGAATGAGCAAGACAGGTCTGAGGGTCGCTGGGCTCTCATGGCTCATCTTGAAACATGGCTTCCCAACTTCATCTGCGAGACCTAGAGTCAGGTGTTTGAACTTTACCAGTGTAGCTAGCGCACGGCCAGGCAGCAGCACCTCTGAGGGCTGTCTCTCGAGCCCTCTAGTGCTCTTGCTATCAGGTTATAACTTCTGCCAAACTGCTGGGTTAAAAACAGCAGCAGCAGCAGCAGCAGCAGCAGCAGCAGCAGCAGCAGCAGCCAACCCACCTGTCTCCCCTGAGGTTAGCTCTGAGCCTTGGACATTGCCCAACTTCACCCCAGTTCTGCTGGTCTCAGAAGCCTGCCCCTGCCCGATAGAGGTCCTTACATGTGTGGAGAGCCTTTCCCTGCTATCCCAATAGCCAGTGTCCTCTGCAGGACTTCAAACAGGCCCACAATGGCATGTGTTTCTGACAGGGTCGGTGGCCCCAGTGCGGACCGCCTAGCTTCAACAGAAATGAGAGGGAGCCAGTTTGCACTGGCTTGGGATAGAATTAGGCAAAGAATGTCAGAGTCTTTTCTTCCCACCCGATACTGTATCTTTGGGTCCTAGTTAATCGATGACAGAAGTTTGCTTCATTAGTCAAATATAAAGGACATTATAAAGGAACTTGCTAAACGATATGATTTTTAAAACTAGATAACCCTGAATGAGAGAACTCAGAACAGCCAGATTGGGGGAAGGGGTCTTAGAATGCAGAGCGTGAGCTTGGAACGTGCAGGGCCTGGAGTTCTAGCTGCAGCGCCGCAGCAGGAAAAGAAAACAAATCACCAAGCTGGATTGTAACGCTCCCCAGGGGTCGCTTATCGCTGGCAGCCACCAGCGCCTCTGGCAGCCACTCACGGTGCCTTCTCTTCTCTTACAGAACTCCCTACAAGGTGAGACCTGTGGCTGTCAAGCAACTATCTGGTAAGGCCCTGTTATCGCATTTTAAAATTATATATAATATGGAGAGAGAGAGAGAGAGAGAGAGAGAGAGAGAGAGAGAGAGAGAGAGAGAGAGAGAGAGGTTCCAGCCTTTCCCTATGATGGAATGAATGCATGTTGGTTAAGTGGTCAGTTCTGCAGCTTGCTCCCACTGCAGAATCTGAAACCTCATGTTCTTGTCCAGGTGCCCCCCCCGCCCGAGTTCCCACCCTGACCCAGAGAACACGCTAGATACTGGGTGTCATCCCACCTCAGTTCTATACCCATCTCTGTTTCTATGAGCCGCCCACCCAGACCCCCAGCCCACTAGGATTCCCAAGGTGTGCTTCAGTCAGGCGTGGAATTTTGTAGGAAACCTCTTTCCTTTTGGATTTTTTTTAAAACTGCTTCTGTTTGTATGTGATTTGTGCACAGTAAAATGCCCCTGTTTAAGTGTGCACCTGGATGTGATTTGAAGAAGCTGTACGCTGCTGTCACCGTCGATGAAACCAAGGTTCCCGTGAACATTCATTCTCTCGCGTCGCTTGACAGCTGGCTTAGTTTTGGAGATGATCCAGTAGATGTGTCTCCCAGAGTTTGTGTGAAGCGTTAGGGGGAGAAGGGTGTTAGTGCTTCTTATTCATGACTGTGTGCATACATATAGAAAGCAGACATCACTCTCCTGTCGTGTCCTTCCTCGGGAACATCCATCTTGCTCATTGAGACAGGATCTCTTATTCTTCTGGGTCTTGCATACTGACTAGGCTAGGCTGGCCGGGCAGGGAACCCCATGGGATCTTCCTGTGTCTACCTCTCCAGATCTGGAGAGCATGCATGTGCCACCGTGCCCAGCTCTTTACGTGGGGTCTGGGAATGAGATGCGGGTCCTCACGCTTCACAGCAAACAGTCTCCCCAGCCCCTTCCCAGAGTTTCACACAGGAAAAAAAAAATGATCCAGGAAGTGACTCGACAGGACGCTTCTGAGAACCACTGGTGCCGTGAGCACCGGCCATGGCGCCTGTTAGCCAATAACGGTCATCCGCACCCTGTACTTCTCATTCATTTCTGAATGGACTTTTGGGTCATTCTTTTATGAGTCAAGCTGCCATGAAAGACTAGGGGGTAGGGTTTGAGTGAAACTGTGGGGTCATGAGGTAAAGTGTACGTTTGACTCCTTCAAAGCCTGCTACTCCCCTCCTCTGACACGGCTGTGCCATCTTGGGCTCCCTGGTGCCCTACTCCGGCTGGCTGTCTTCTCAGCACTATGAGCTGTTAGAGTCACTCTGACGGCTGTGGAAGAGGAGTAGGCCATAGTTTTAATTTGTGGATTCCCTAACAATTACTGACCGTGAGCGTCCTTGAGTGTCTGTTTTATATTTATTGTGCGACCCTGCTGGTAACTCCTAGTTGCCGCTCCTGCACTGATTGCGCTGGGAAGCCCTTGACGGATGCACCGAAGGTTCACACTTAGCGTCTGTTCCCACTGGTGTGATAAACCACCCTGATGAAAGGCTTTTGCAGGAGAAAGGGTTTATTTCAGCTTACGGTTCAAGGCCACACAGTCTGGTGGGGACATCAAGGCAGCAGGAGCGTGAAGTAGCTGCTCATGTGACATCCATGACTGGGATAGCGTGAGTGACGGGTGCATGCTTGCCAGTGCGGCTCAGTTTCTCCAGAGCGCAGAATCCCCTCCCCAGGGAATGGACCTGCCCACAATTAAAATGAATCTTTCTATCTTAATTCGTGTAATCAAGAGACCCGTCTCCAGGTGATCCTAGATTCTGTCAGCTTGGCAGTTAACACACCATCACACACAAACACCTTTGTCAGAAACACAATAAATGTTTCCTTTGTCCAAAGTATCCTATTCACCTCCTGATTGGTGGATTTCAAGGATGATGGGCTTGGTTAGTTGTTTTGATTTTGTTGGTGGGGCTGGGAGTCAAACTCAGGGACTCATACAGGCTAAGCCAGCACCTTACAACTGAACCACATTTCTGGATCTTCATCTTTTGACTCCAGGTCTCACTATGTCATCCACAAGGCCTTGAACTCAGAGGCTTGCTTTCTTCACGTTCCCAGTCATAGGCTGTAGGCACAGGCTTGCACCACCTAAAAGCTTTACATTTTGAAAAAGTCCAGTTTAATTCTCTTTTTTAGATTTGTATTCTATAGTGTGTATGTGTGTGGCTGTCTCGCCTGCATGTATGTATGTGTACCGAATGCATGCAGTGCCCTCAGATGCCAGAAGAGGGCATCAGACCCCCTGAAACTGGAGTTACAGACAGTGAGAGCCGCCAGGTGGGTTCTGGGAATTGAACCAGGATCTATTTAGCTATCGAACTCTCCCCACTGCACCTGGCTTTACCTCCTGGCTGGGAAGTTTGCTGATATACTTTTTTTTCTAGGGGTTTTATAGTTTTAGTTTGTATCTTTAGCCCCATATGGATGTGTTTGCTTGCTTGTTTTGTTGTTGTTGTTGTTGTTTGCAGCGTAGTGTGGAACCCAGGGCCTTGTGCATGCTAGGCAAGCATCCTGCCACCAAGCTGCATCCAAGCCCACGTGGCAGATTTGGAGTTGATCTTTGTGCATGCATGAGGTAGAGCTGAAGTCGGCTTGCCTTTGTGAAATTCAGTTTGGGTCTTAGGGAGACGGTGCAAAAGGGTGAACTTTGAAGTGCCCTCAGAGAGCCAGCGACGTGTGCGCCCCTGTGTCCGGATCTCCTTCTTGTCTGCCGTGTGACGTCATGGAGCACCAGTGGCTTCAGCCTGTTCTCTGAGGCGTTTCTTATATAAACTGTCATACAGTTCTCTTGACAGTAGCTATGAGTCTAACTTCTTGTAGCATAAATATTTTTATTGTAAGAAGCGTTCCTGGCTTCCTCTGAGCAGAAAGCTATTTTATTTTTATATTACTAACTAAATCCAGTTCTCTGTATGGATTTCAGCATGGCTTCCCCAGTCCTTTATCTGTGCCAGGATCTAACCATCATCCCACACTGCACTGAGGCCTGGGGTTCCCAGTTCTCAGACTTTCATGGTTGTGAATTTCAGGATTGTGAATCATCTGTTTAGTGTCCCCTACCTGATTCGTCTGTCTGTCTGTCTGTCTGTCTGTCTGTCTGTCTCTCTGTCCTTCTCTCTCCTCTCTCTCAGTGTGTGTGTGTGTGTGTGTGTGTGTGTGTGTGTGTGTGTGTGTGTGTATGATGTGTCTTGCCTTTTTATTTATTTTTGTTTGTTTGAGGCAGAGTCTTTATAGCCCAGGCTTGCCTGGAACTCACTATGGAGCACCAGACTGGCCTAGAACTCATGGCAGTCCTCCAGTCTCAGCTTCCCAAGTGCTAGGATTGCAGGTAGGAGCCAGCTTGCCTGACTGGTGTCTTTCTCACGATCAGCTGCAGCTGTGGGTTAGGAAGCGGATCTGATCGTGTCCTCATGGCTCCTCCACCACACCACACTGCCCCTCCTCCTGCTTTTCTCCTTAGGCTGGGGTTGCTTAGTCTAGTCTGCCAAGTCGAGGAGAGAATTGAGGCATGTTTTATTCCATATGGGGCTTCATTTGCTCCAGCTCCATGAGATGAAAAGATGGCCCCATGCTGTCACCATGACCCCTTTGTGCAAAATCAGCTGACCACACCTGTATGAGTCTTTACCTGGACCCAGCCTCCTGGTCCATTAGCGCACACACCTGTCCCGACCATGAACGTAGACCAGTGACTGTGGACGCATGGCAAGTCTTGCAAACGGGTGGGCAAAGCCTTTTCTTTTCTTAATTTTTTTCAAAATTGACACCGAGTTTATTTTTAAATAATTTTTGGAGTGAGTCTGTCAATGACTGACAAAAAAATAAAACCCAAAAAACAAACAAACAAACAAAAGACTGCTCAGAATTTTAGTGAAATCCCATTGAATACACTGAATAATTTGGGGACAATTATGTTTGGGGAAAATAATGTTTCATGGCCTCTTTCATGCCTGAATTTCTGCACTTGTCAGAGTGTCTTCCTCTCGGGGTTGTAGCTGCTGGTGAAAGGCTTTTGGATGTTGCTTGGTAACCTCATTGGTTCCCTCTTAGTGCTACAGAAATGGGTTTGCATGTGTGAGAGGTTATAGTGTAGGGCATAGCATACGTAAAGTCCTGGGTTCAATTCCTACATGACAACAACAATTTTAAATCTCAGTTTCTAGGATCTTTTAGTTTGTAAAACTATAAATAGTTTGTGTGTTGGAAAAGCCAGTCCTGATACTGACTCAAAAAAAAATGGAGTTTTGTGTGACTTTGGAGCCCGACCAAGACTGGTTGAGTTGGGTTCCGATTTATTAACATAAGCTAGAACTGAGTCCTGGGGACTTAAGAGCTGAGCTTCCTGGAGGGTTTGTGGAAGGCCGGTGTAGAGGGTGCATGTGAGCAGCCGGGCCAATGCTGTGAAGCTCCTTCCACGTCTGGTGTCACTAGCATGACGAATGACTTGGAGAAATAGGCAGTGCTGCAGAGGACCGAGGCCTGTGTATGTGCATCCCAGCTTCTGACGGCAGCCTCTCCATGGGCCAGAACCAGACAGAACCAGAAAATGCCTGCCATACACCTTGAGTGTGAGCGCTCTTTAAGTGAGGGAGCAACCTGGAAGTGTGGCTTCCCCGAGAATGCCAGCAGGGTGGGGGTGGCCAGCAGCCAGGGTGCAAATGCAGGGCCCTGCATAAACTTCTGCTTAGCACAAAAGGACAGGTCTCTGCTCTTTGGCAGAAGTAACCCGAGCAAATCTGGGCCATGTTCGGGTCTGCTCTGTCCCTCAGAGTAGCGTGGGAGTGCAGTGTGAACTCTGCAGGAAGAAGGTACTGACTCTAAAGCAGGTCTGTCCCTTCCCTGAAGAGAGAGACACAGCACCTCTCTTGTTGGTCAGCATCCTCTCCTCATTCATGTTCCTGGTCAGGCTAACAGACACTGGGTGCTAGGCACCCATTCTCTTTTAATGTACCCTTTTCCGCTTTCCATATATATATAT